GGCGGGGCCTGCGGGCTGAGCCGGACGCTCCTCCCACTCCAGGGGCCACCGGGAGAAGATCCAGCAGCGCCAGTCGGTCCTACCCCCACCCCAGGGCCCGGCCCCCATCCCCTTCCAGCGCCGCAGCAGCGGGGAGTCCTCCCCTCCCAAGAACCGCGTAGGCCCCCCCGTGCCACTCAGCGAGGCAGGTGGGTGAAGGGGCTTGTCTGGGGGCGCCAGGCAGGGCGCCTGGGTGGCCTTGGCCAGCAGCAGCTCTGTCCTCTAGGTTCCCGCCATCGGGAGTCTCAGGAAGAGGAGCCGCGGGCGCTGCTGGCACAGAAGATAGAGAAGGAGACGGTGGGTGTCGGCAGAGGCTGTCAGCGCCCCTCCCGCAGGCCCCGCCCCAGGTGCCAGCCGGGGGTCTCTGAGGCTGAGCCCCTGCTCTGACCACAGCAAATCCTCAACTGCACACTGGACGACATCGAGTGGTTCGTGGCCCGGCTGCAGAAGGCGGCAGAGGCCTTCAAGCAGCTGAACCAGCGCAAGAAGGGCAAGAAAAAGGGAAAGAAGGGGCCGGCAGGTGTGTGGGGGCGGCGGTGGGCCTTGGGGTCCCCCGAACTGGCGACCCGGCTGCCGTCCAGCGCGCTCACACTCTGCCCCTCCAGAGGGCGTCCTCACGCTGCGGTCCCGGCCCCCCACCGAGGCCGAGTTTGTCGACTGTTTCCAGAAAATCAAGTTGGCCATCAATCTGCTGGTGCGTCCCTCTCCCGGCGCTGACGTGGGGTCCACCTCCTCCCAACACAACGCAGAGGGGCAGGGTGGGGTCCTTGACCTGCACTGGTCCAGAGCCCCCCGCATCTGTCTCTGTCCTGCCCCCAAGGCCAAGCTGCAGAAGCACATCCAGAACCCCAGTGCCGCTGAGCTGGTGCACTTCCTCTTCGGGCCGCTGGACCTGGTGACCGGGCGGGCGGGCTGGGGCCGGGGGCGGGAGGGGCCGGACAGGGGCTCAGCAGCAGGGCCGCGGACCGGGCCTGGGACGGCGGGGCCGGGGTGGCAGGCGAGCTCCTGAGCCCAGCCTCCCGCCCCAGATCGTCAACACCTGCGGAAGCCCGAGCATCGCACGCTCCGTCTCCAGCCCCCTGCTCTCGCAGGACGCGGTGGCCTTCCTGCGTGGCCACTTAGTCCCCAAGGAGATGACACTGTGGGAGCTGCTGGGGGAGACGTGGACACGCCCCCGGTAGGGGCCTGGGCCGGGCTGTGGGGTCCGGGGCTGTGTGGACGGGGCTCGGGCCGGTCTGGCAGGCGGGCGCGGCTCACCCTACGCCTCTGACCCCCAGCTCCGAGTGGCCGAGGGAGCCCCAGGTGCCCCTCTACGTGCCCAGGTTCCACAGCGGCTGGCAGCCTCCCCTGGACGTGCTGCAGGAGGCCCCCTGGGAAGTGGAGAGCCTGACTGCCCCCCAGGGGGACCAGGTCAGCACAGCGTCTTGGCTGCCCTGCCCACCCCCACCCCACAGCCTCCCCCACACCGAGCCCAGGCCGCCCCTTCCCCCGCAGCCCAGCCCACCCATGCGGTCGTCCTTCCGCAACTCCCTGAAGCCCAACCTGACCCAGCCTGCACCCCCGGGAGAGGCCCTCCCCCCGGCCAGCTCCCCGAACACTCACAGGTAAGTGAGACCTTGCAGACCTAATGGCTCCCCCAAACCCTGTTGGCGCCTGGCTGGCACAGGCCCCACCCCCCAGGGCCTCCCCCACTCTCGCTGTCACTCTGGCTCTGGACCTGCTGGGGGCCGGCTGCCCCAGACTCCTGCCGCAGGGCGCAGGCCACCCTTTGACCTTCAGGGTCTGGTCCGTCCATCCTGGCACACCAGAGTGGACGGGGTTCCAGTCTCAGCCCGGCGCGGTTGGCGGAGCAGGACCGGACGCGTGGTCCGGCCGCCCCCGGCGCGGGGGAGCCCCGGGCCGTCTGACACAGCGGACACCAGCCCGCGTTTCCGCGTGGTGCTTAGTGGTGTCTCGCCGCAGGCCGCCTGCAGGCCGGCTCAGCCCACCAGGAGGCTTGCGGGGGAGGGGGCGGGCGCCACCGCGGCGGTGGGGCTCTCGGGGCTGGGGGCTCCCTGGCCCACTCGCCCGGCAGACTCTCGCGGGCATCCTGTGCGCCAGGCTCCATGCCGGACACCAGGAGGCCGTGCCCACCCCCAGCCGAAAGCTCAGCCGGCCGGCGCTGGGCCTGGGGCAGGCGGGGGGCGGTGTCCGCACAGAGCTGAGGGGCCTGGAGGGCCCGGTGGGGGTGGAGGCAGGTGCGGCGCAGGGTGGGTGGCTGGCCAGCCGGTGCCCGCCCCGCCCGCCCGCCCTGCTCCTCGGGGCCTCACCTCCACCTCGCTGTACCCCACGGACGCCCTTCAGTGCAGACCAGGCAGGGCCCCCCAGGGGCCCTGAACCCCGGCGCAGCTGCCCCTCCCCAGCCCCAGGGCTGGCCCTGGCCCCACAGACCCCAGAGCAGCCTTGGCCTGGCTCCCCGGGAGAGCTGTGCCCAGGTGACCGCCTGCCCGTCCTCCCTAGCACTTGGCCACGTTCATCATGGACAAGAGTGAGGCCATCGTGTCTGTGGAGGACGCCATCCGGAAGCTGGTGCAGCTCAGCTCCAAGGAGAAGATCTGGACGCAGGAGATGCTGCTGCAGGTCAATGACCAGTCCCTGCGGCTGCTGGACGTGGAGTCCC